TGGTAAGAGGGGGGTTCAGCTCCAAGATGTCCTTCTAATCCGGTTTGGGCGTATTTATGAATAGCCGTCAACACAGCCTATATTCTCTGTAAAAAAAAAAAGAAGCTTGGCCTATATAGGAGATTACAAGACGTTATTTTATATGATATTGTTATTCAATTTGGACGCGCATGTATCGTAAGGTAAAAAAAACCGTGTTTTGGCATCGTGTCAATCAGTGACACACCTGCGATATGTTATTGCTGCCATTAATTAGCCCGGTGTGTTTCATTATCAGCCGGCGCTGCCGTCGGCAGCGACTATGCAGACGCAGGATGGCTGCAGCCCCAGACGCCGGGCTCTGAATGTGGGAACACGCATGCTGTACATGCGTTCCACGCTGCGCTTACTAACACGCCCGTAAATTGAATGCGAGGACTGTATGAAATAAGAATCCAACGTGTGTCTTTTCGTTTTGCGCTCGCGCTCTGTTCCAGCGCCTGGAAACGGAAAGAACACATTGTTTTGTCGGGCACCGTGGATTGAAAAGGCAGGAAATGCCGGGATTGCAGCAGCAGAATCTGCGTGAATTCAAATGGGGAGCTTGAAAAGACAAAAGCAATCTGTGTCATGCTTATTTTGGGGGTGGGTTGGTGGGTGGGGGACACAACTTCTCTCTGTTACTGCATTGTTGTGGAGCCAAACTGCTGTCTGCTGGGCCTTATTGATTTCATTTATGAATACTGCTCGTTCTCGTGCAGCAGCCGTAAACCTTATTATTAACAGATTCCTGAACAAGGATGTCTGTTGAGTGTGTGTGTGTGTGTGTGTGTGTGTGTTTGGGGGGGCAGTTGGTGCCTTCAGGGTGATTCACAGCTAGCCCGCCCCTTGGTGTACCTGGGGAAACACCTTTCTGTTTTCAGAAGATGTTTTTCCACTTTGCTGCCAAGTATTTTCGAGGCCGCTGATCGTTCCCATTTTTGGGGTTCTTGTGTAGTTTGCAATTGCCGACCATTAAAGGCGATGTGCAAAAGGAGGATCTGTTTAATCGTATAGGTGATCATTCGTGCTCGGGACGGTGTCTTCTTGTTCAGGGGGATTTCAACACATGTGGGTGTGTTTGTTTTCTCCCCTCTGTTTGCTGTTATGTTCAAATTGGTGGCACTCTACTTTATTTTTAACTTTACTACAGGCCCATACAGGTACATGCGTGAAATGTCACCACTGCATTGATTCTAGGAACAGTGTAAAGGAGCTGGTGAGGGTCTCGCTCAAGGTAAACAAACTACCGACCCTGGGGTTTAGGGACAACCAGCTCTCCCCGCTGAGCCACAGCCACCTCACTATTTAACTATGCACTCCCTAGCTACTATTGATTGTTACCATTCAGTCAAACACCACAGACTTTGCCCCAGATTGGTGCAAACACAATTATTTTGCCATGTTTGTTACACCAAGGTGACACTGCTCCTTTTATGGTGCCCTTAAGACACGGACTGACACGGTTTGAGCATCTGGTTCAGTAGTAGTTGACTGGCAAGCATGCAGATTTAGTGGGGTGTGTGAAAAGTGTCGCACTCACACCCTGATCTGGATCCAGAACATTTCAGCAAACCCTTTTGCTTTTACATTTGCATGCGTTTAAAATGAAAATATGCTTTTGGCCTCGTCCAAAGCACCTTTGGTGCTTAGTGTGTGAGCTCAGGGAATCAAACCCCAGACCTTATCTAATGTTGGAAAACACCAGAGCAGCAGTGCTCTCATTTAGTGGATAAGAGAGAGAACTCAGCCACATTTCTTCTGTCACAAAGCACACAAAAGAATCAGAGCAGGCGGTTATAGTAATGGATGTAAGTGTAAGGCTGTGGCTGCACATCATAAGCGGCCTTGAACTCCCTCCTAAACCAAACAAGGCGGATTACAGCCACAGTGAGACATAAAAACAACATTGGAATACGTACAGAAATCCCCTCCAGGTGTTGCAGCGCAAAGGGAAAATGCGTAGGAATAATCCCCTCGGACGTTAGCTCCGCATTCCTTTCTTTATTACCACCCCCCCAACCCCCCCACCTCAGTTTAGCAGAATCCAGGTGGATAGCAATCACCAGGACTGCTTTGTTTCGACCGCAGCAGCTGTGTCAAACGTGGAAAGGTGAGCGCCAAGGCCATGGAGGAGAAGCGGTGAGCCCCGGGATTGGTCTGTTGGAGCTAAGCTGCCCTGCTGCGTGCCGATAAGCGTGTTATAAATCAGTATTTCATGGACACAGAGAGCACAAGAAGAGATCATAACAGTGTGGGGGGTAGGGGATGGGGTCATCTGACCTCCCATAAGCCCTCCGCAGTCCTTTGGTCGGGGTTGGTCAGGTGGAGGTACTTCAGTAAATCCTCCGCACGGAATCAGCTGCATGTCTGACCGTCACCGATGTCTTTATCACGCAGAAACCCGTATCCTATACCTTTCTTTTTTCTTAAGGTTAAAACCATTTGGATGTTGACATTTCCATTCCTCTTTCTCATCATTACAAATCATGTCACGCTGTACTGTTCTCTCAGAGCGAGGTTCAGAAGCGCCGTCCCGGCTCGCCATCGGAGTGCATTGCGAGAGCCGACTGTTTGACGCGGACGTTTCAAAGCTACGCAGTCTGCGACGCTACTGGCCCCGGTTTGACTCCCCCGGCCACATAGTTGTAACCCTGATCTGGTTACCATGTGTAAGTTCACAACAGCAGCAGCTGTGTCAACACCAACAGGGAACATGAGGGCTGCCAGCCTCACCTGTCCGCAGAGGGCCGGCGGCGTTGTTTCAGCTGCTCTTTCACATCTCGGCTGCTCCTTTTATTGCCCGTCGAACGAGACCAACAAAACCACATTGCGTCTCCCTTGCCAATTGCAACAGATATGAGGCTGTTGCAGGAGCATCTACTGTTTAAGACGTGCTTTACTGTAAGTCATGAATATATCTGTTATGTAAATGCTGTTGACAACAGCAGCCGGTTCCTGGCACTCTTGGGCCAGATAAAAGCTGACTGCAGAGAGAGAGAGAGAGAGTGAATCTCTTTAAGAGCTGGGAGGCGTCGTGTTTGTCAAGGGATGAGAAAACTGGTTATAAAACTGTTGCCTGTAGGAATTTAGCTCAGCTATGTTGTGATCCAATATATATGACTTCTAAGCCGAAGGAGGAGAGCGGTGCAGTTCACGGTAGGATTGGACCTACCTTGCAGGCCTCAGTGTTTAAGCCCCGTCGGACTTGAATATTAAACTCCTCGCTGATTTGCATTCGTGTGATGCGCGCTGCACAGGGGCGCCTCGCTCTCATCGCACGGCTCATGTTTTAATCAACATGGCTCCCACAGTGCTATCTACGCCGCCGTCCCTGAGCCCGTCCCTCACCCCTCACACAGACGAGCTCAGGCAACACGTGCTCGACGATCGCCTTGCGTTCATATCTCTCGTACTCGCATCTCCTCTGATCCCTCCTTTGATGCCGCTCCCTGGGACTCCCCGTTTATCTGATTCCTCACTGTCCCGCCACATCTCCCTGGAATGTGATGCCGTCTCGTGTTGTTTTTGTAGGCCTGTACCTGACTGTACCTCCGCACACATCTGTACACCAGATGTTCGCGCAGTAAGCGCTTGACTTCAACCGGTAGGACCGCTGATCCTCTCAGGTGTGTTCTTGGTTGGACTCAGTAGTGGTTAGAGTGCGACTTGTTGCAGTTGATTGATTGGTCCTTGTCTCAAAAGCGATACTTGAAACGGTGGTAACCCTGGAGTGCTGTGATGTTTGTTTGGTGCTGAGCACTCACTACTTAAGTTTCTGTTTGCTCTTTGCAGAGACCTCATCCGAAATGTGTGGCTCATATTGTGACGCCATTCTGTCTTTTCTCTCTATATAGTTGGCAGCTTTTCTGTTTCAGTGTAGCTTTTATAACTATTGCTGCTGGCTTGCTACTAAATTAATTTCCTGTTTCGGCCAAACAATTAGCAACAGCTGCTGTCGGATCTTTTTCACAGAAAGACTTAAAAGCTTTTTTACGAACTGGATACATTGTCGGTTAAGACCGAGGCGTCACAGGATGTGTAACCTTTGCTGAACAACAGACAATAACGGGACGATGGAAAGCGCTTAAAGTCTCACATTATTTCACGCACACACCAGACCCACACAGGCCGACGACGTTGTGAAGGTGCAGTAGTCAGGATGTGTTGAATGGGATACATTGCTGCTTTTGCAGAGAGTCGATGTGCGTTGTCCTATAGAGAAGTACAAAGAGTCATTAAGTCAACAAACTGACTTAGTTACTTGCTAACGTTTGCCAACATTAGCTGCTGGTCATACCAGCCCAAGTAACGCTGTGTGTGTTGAAGTGTTCTTTAAAAGTTACATTGTAGCGCTTTAAATGACTGTATTACACCGGTTGTAGTAGCACAAATGAAACACTACTTAACCCAGAGCACTGAAGTCATTGTTTTTTCTAAAGAGACACATTTTAGTGAGTGAGAAGGATAGCACCGAGCTTCCAAGCAACTGTTTTTGCTCGCCGGACAAAGCCATTCTTCAGAGGCACGGCAGCCTTTTGGCTCCAGCTGCCTGGCGACCACGCAAATGAATACCGAATGTCTCCGTCTGTCTCCTCTTGACGGCTTCCCTCGGCGGGTTTACTGCTCGGCCTCGCTTGTTCCAGACATGACGCTGCCGTGTGCATTCCCAGGTGAAGGTCCTTCTCGAGTATATTAGATTGACTTCAAATCTGATTATCTCGGGCTTCGGTTTTGTGTAACAGGATTCATGTGATGAGCTTCTTTGTGTGCGCGGCGGTCGTAACTCTGCCATTTGTTTGTGTGAAAGGTCCCTACTTGTCTGTCAGAGGGAGGTCAAGCATGCTGAGGGTTTTCACACGTACAGGAGCAAACAGCACTCGCTGGTTCAGTTCCAGGACTGGGGAGCCAACGCAAACAAGTGGTTCAAGTATGTCTTCAAAACAAAAGCAGAGCCTCATTCTTAATGTTGTTTGAGTGAAGAAAACAAAACACTATCTCCTACTGACCCCCCCCCCCCCCCCATAAGCAAAAAGCTGGTCCCTTGTAAGCAGAGCTTGGAGACAGCCGCTCAGACTAACTGATAGCTGAATGTTTCCTTTGGAAAGATGTGACGCTGGCAGAAGCAGCCTTCGGACGGATCATTTTGCTTCAGCCCTCGAGGCCTTCCGCCTAGATTTGAGGGTTGAATGGAGTCGTTTTATGATTTACTCGACTGGCAAGGCGCTTGTTTACGGCAGCGATTTGTGAGCAGCGTTGAGTGAGAGGCTTTTGGCAGAAAACGCGATCGCTATTTTTGGATGTCAAGTCTCTATTGGGCATTAGGGAAGAGGCTTTGTCCGTAATGAACCTCCATTATGTGGAGGAAAAGCACACGTGAAACATTGCTCACTTACAGTCGAGTGAAGGCAGCATTTCTCTTTACGGGGCCTTATTCGATGTTAGGCAACAGTTTCCTTCTCAGGAGAACTATCCTATCTGCTCTGATATGTAAGAGCTATAAGATATAAACACAGTTACATACAAAGTGAGTTTCATGTAAACCTTGATATTTATGACAGCAGGACAAAAGAAACTCTGCTGAACGTTGCATTTTACTTCCTCGCCTCACTTTGCTTCTGGCTCTATTCCTCTCTTCTGTGTAGCAGCAGTAGCTCTTGAGCTATTGAGACATAAAACACTGAGGGTTTTAGGTTTCTCCCCCTCTGTTTCTGACCCTGCATTATTAATGTTACTTGCCCTGTCTCATTTCCTTCTCTTTGCAAATTAATTGGTTGCTAATTGAATCTGAGAGCTAATGTTAGAGTATTACTCACTCACTTTCAGATTGCCTTAAGGTGCAAGTTAAGTTATCGTCGGACTTTTATTGATCTCTTGATATTCTATAAATGTTCTATAAAACCGGCTAAATGCGTTTTTATTAATATGGCTTCATACAGTGTCAAACATGGGATCAATAGTGCTTTTAGTGAAGCTGTTGCTATGCTGATAAAAGCTTATTTTTATCAGAAAAATCGAAATATTTTTCCTCTATTCTTTTCATTTTAAATTGTATTATGAATTTTTTTTTTTTTAACGTTTTCAGGGTTTGGGTTTTAGACACCTGAACAGAGGTACAGTAGCTCCCCCTCATGGTACCTGGTGTAACCTGCTCTAGCAGACACCGGTGCTTATCTTACTGCTGACTCGCTAGAAATGCAACTATTGACTGTAGACCTCAAGAAAACACACGATACTGCAAGAGTCAAGAGAAGAAACCCTCTAGGCCTGAACACATTTTGAGTCTCTGTTGCTCTTCCAACAGGTGAGGGCGTGGCTGGGAGCGAGAGTTGTAAAGTCCCCAGAATTACACCACATGGAGGTCAAAGGACATCTGATCACATCCATGGGTTTGGGGGCTCCTGGTGAGTACTAATGAGTTCTCACACTGCAAAGACGGACACGTTCGTGTCTGGACAAGCCTGGAATGGCTCGGTGTTGTTTTTTTTCCCCTTTCTCACAGAGAAGGAAAAACAAAAGTGTTTTCCTCAAGGTAAAAGCCAGCTGAAAAAACAGCTGCATGTGTGTGAAGGCCTTTTGTTCACGTGCTGCTGCCGCAGCTGTCAAATAATCTTATCAGAGCACTGAGGGATGGTGAGAAACTAGACCCTTAAAAAAGCAATTTTTGTGAAACCGTAGAAACCAAAACACTGCATTTCTAACTATAATGAACATTTGAAATAGTGAAATGTTTTAGTTTGAATCATCTGCATTCAGAGGATTTGGCCCAAAATGTCCAGCCTCCTGTTGTTAAAAGAAAAGTCTGTAATTTTTGTATATTATTAATAATATTGTCAGCAAATCCCATGAAAAGACAATGTGTTAGTCCGTCTCTAAACTTTCTGACCCCCCTCGTCTGTGGCTCCCATCCACGAGCCATCTGGTTCCTACTGAAGAGAACCGAGCATGTACAGCAGGACCGACTCAAAATAAAACACACTTTGCTTGTACAAGGCAACAAGGAACAGAACATGTGACCCAGTGCAACGGCGAGGCTCATTGTTGAGTTTTTAATAGTTTTGGGACAACAATGGAGCTCCATGACAAAGAGGAACGAGGTCTATCAGGCTTTGGATACACTGACAATACTGTATTCATCGTTGGTTCGGGTCTTTTCGTGGGAATTGTTGACCATAATAATATAGAGTATTGCCGGCCTTAAACTTCAATTCATTCCTCCTAAAAATGCGTTGCATGTGTGCTGTGCTGTGTAGATGTTCAAGGCTGCCAGGACAGCAAGCTGCAGGCTGAGAGGGTTGCAGCTCTGCAAGAGAGGAAGCAGGCCCTGGAGGCTCTCCTCAACTCCAGAGTGGGAGAGCTCAAACAAGTCTGTTTGCAGGAAGCAGTGAGTAGCTCTATCTTCACTTTTGAAACATACGTGCATGCCATCCACAAGTCTTCAGATGACTGCAGTTTGTTACTGTGTTTAATTACTGTTTTACTAAAGAGACTGCAGCATATTACAGATTATATCATATGTCCTGAAAATTGAACCTATCGATTTAGATGCAAATGGTAACCAGTGATTCTTTTCTTTCTCCTATAAAAATGGGTTGTATATTAATATTTGAACTTGTCAGCATGTCTTAATGTAGCAACAGCTGCCTCCGCTTTAAACAGCTGTTTAAAACATCCCTAGGTGTTCACAGCTGGACATATAACGGCTCACTCTGTCTCTGTGTGCTCCGTTCTTGGATTCACAAGTTGTCTACTCTGTTTTCAGTGTTGCTAATTTAAACGTCTAAAGCACGACTCATCTGCAGGGTTATTCCGTTTCGTAAATTATGATAGAAAAATTATTTCTGGCTTCTATTTCAGTGCAGTCAACTGTTTAAGGGGTGGGTTTTATTGAGACTTAAAGTAATCTGTTAAGTGGTGTCATTTTATGGAACACTTTAAGCCTCACAGGCCCGTGAGAAGATGGATTTTAGTTACTGGCCGCTAATGAATGTCCTCTACAGGAGCTGACTGGGAAGTTGCCACATGCCTTCCCCCTGGAGACGGGAGAGAAACCCCCACCGGTGCAGCGCAGAGCTGGCCTGCTGCCCAACGCCAAGGCAGAGGTAAGTCAACACCTTGAATATCAATTATGTTTACGCAGCAGCTGCACCGCTGTGTGTACTTGTGGTCTAACACGGCTGTCTGTTCCCCCGGCTGAAGGATGAGGCGGCCCAAAGAAAGCAGATGAAAGCCATCTTCACTGGTGCTCTGTACCGACACTCGGAATCAGACCGAAATATCCCAAATAGCAAGAGGACAGTTCACCGGGGGTGTCACACAGGTACAATCTCAAACCATACACCCACTTTAAATACATATTACATATCAGGTATAAGTGACTTAAAACAAAGCCGCATTGTCATTCGCATTCTACGCTCTGAAAGACAAATATAGCTTTGCATTTATGTTAAGCAAACGGATTTCATTCTGCATCATCTGTGACCTGAATGGTTTGTTGTCTTCCAGAGGACACTGTCATGTCAGAGAGTACAAGCTCCATGTCAGATTCAACATCCCATGACAACGGTGAGTCAACTGAATACAGACTGTCTGTCAACAACTCTCTCTGTCGGATACTGTATATCCTTCTATTCATAATGAGCTTAACAGAATTTGCAGCCCTTTTCCCATTCAAAACACATCACTCACGCTTAGTGGGTGGGAGACTCATTTGCACTTCTGGTGTAAAGACACCAAATATGAATACGCTGTCACATTTCAGTTGTTAAATCCCGAAATGGCACACTTGTTGTGCTTGTAATGACAGTGGATCATTTCTTTGTCGTCAGTGAGTTGGTCATTAAAAGATAATTTCTTTGTTTTGTTTCTTTTTCTCCTCCCAAAAGAGTCGTCTCCCAGTGTGGCGGCTGACCAGCGCTCTCTGTCTCAACCCCGGCTCACAGTGGGCAGCCCCGACCACAGGATCAGCAGGAAGCTGTCGCCAGTCGAGATCTACTACGAGATGAGGACACGCCGCAACTCCGTCACAAGCTCTGTCAGGTACTGGAAGTGGGCCCCACACTGCAAGCTGCGCGTTCTGCTCGATGTGTCTTGAGAGCGTTCATATAATCACGATTGTTTTCATTCATCCACGTCCTCTTGTGTTGCTGCTCACAGCCCGGCTCACTCTTTACCGAGAAGTGCATCCAACATCGAAGGCAGAAGTGTTCCAGCTACTCCTCTGTTGGCCCGAACCGCGCCAATCAGCGTTCACGTCAGGTAATCTGCGATGTGGTGCCGCTTCTGTCTGATGCAGCGCAGCTTCAGCTGCCTCCTGCTGGGATAACTGTACGGTTAGATGGCTTAATGACTTAGTTAAATGCAGACACAGAGTCAGGGTTGTAACAACGATTAGTGTCATATTCAGCTACCAGCAAGGGGCTTGAGCAGACAAATTGTGTCCCCTGTTAAGTGATTTTCTGTAAAATGTGGTTACATGGTTTTGACTAAAAATGCTTTCATTTACTTTTCTTTATCCATAGTTGCTCCAAAGTCCTGTTCTAATGTAAGCTGTTGTTGTGTTTATATGTTTTAGGTCGGATGCGTCGGGTGGTAATGGGTTGAAGCAGTGGTCTGGCAGCCTGGATGTGCCCTATATGATTCCGCTGGCCCAGGAGGGCTCTTCCTCTGACCGCCGAGGCTGCCCTTACAGCTCCCGGGCCAGGCGCAGTAACAGTTCCGAGGCCCTGCTGGATAGATCCAGCCTCCCTGACGATCCTGCTCCCAGAAACGGGATGCCCCCCAGAGGAGGGCCCTACAAGAGCTCAGAGACACTGACTGATGGCAAGCTACGCCACATTCACCTGGGCAGCCCCGAGAGACATGCCGACGGCTCTGTGGACCAGGCCAAAATGCGTCTGTCCATGGGCGACAGAGCGGCCGGCGGAGGCTACAATGAGCTGTTGATGGACTATATCTGGGGCAAACAGCAGAGGGTGCAAGTGCAGCAGCCCCTGTACCAGTCCACAGGCAGGATCTGGCAGGACATGTCCTCTCCTCGCTCCTCCACCGCGGCGGTGCCTCCTCATGCCAACGGCTTCTCCCATTCCCAGGTGAACCTCCCCAGCGCCGCGCCTCCTTACAGCCCCATGGTCCTTCGAGGGTCCCAAGCTGAGCTGCGCAGGGTCAAAGTCACCAGAACCAAATCTTGTGGACCCTTTATTCCTTTGCAGCAACATCCCCAGGATGCCATCCTGCTCTCAGCGTACGAGTCTCCCCTTCCTTCCTCTGGCACCACCACATCCTCCATCCCCAACTTACACCCCTACCAGACCGAGCTATCTGGCCCCTCCTTCAGCCGCAGACCCCCGCAGTACTCTCTCCCGACCCCAGAAGACTCGACGCGAAGCTTGCATAAAGCCCTGGCTCTGGAGGGACTGAGGGACTGGTACCTGAGGAACGCCCTTGGCTACCCTCCCGCTGCCTCGAAGGGCCACGAGGCGGGGATCTCGCGCCTCTCGCACCCCCACCCGCTGGTGCACCAGGCCCAGTCTGTTCAAGGGGAACCAGCCAACCTCCAAAGGTCTCAGATACCCCAGTCAGCCAGCTTCCACGGTCACCCGCTGCATGGAAGGTCAGTATTTATTTTTCTCTTATTGCTCTGTCTCTTTTACAGCTGTATGTCTATTGGTGGGATTCAGAATCAGTGTTGTGAGCTCAAACTTATACAAGCCGTAACAAATGTATTGTAACTTGTTTTGTGTTTGACAATTCCATTGCACCCACAGCAGAAGAACGTTGTACTATCACTTTAAGAAATTGTATTTTCTATGTTTTGTGAGAATACATTTAATTAGACTACAAATACCAACATGCTTGTCTGCAAATACAGTCACTCACTATTTATTCGCTAAAACATCTTTCTCAGTGGCAGCAATTCTCTCAGCAGAGGATGGTGCTATTATTCTCACTCTACTCCCAGCCAATCCATCTATCATCCCCCGACCTTTACAACCGGGCTGGTTTTATTTTTGTGTTTGTGTTTGTATTTTTGCACGGTCAGCATTATGTGCTGCTGTCTGCCTCATGCCAACGTCCGGGCACTCGGATGTCTCCTCATCACTCAAAGGCGTCCTTGAAGTGCCTTAAGTGGCCCGTGAGACACAGCAGACACATATACACATGAAACGTTGATGACTCAACAGATGGAATGTGAACTTGCATTAATGGGCATCTTTAATTATGACAAGGACCACCCCCCTTCCTTAATTTCACTCTCCAAGCTTCTGACGGTGATTCATAGCTTTCATATCATGTAAATGTATTCTCACTGTGGTTTTACCCTCCACTTCCTGCTTCTTGTTTATGGAGCGCTGTATTGATTTGTCCTGCCTCCCCAACAGGTCGATGGAGTTCTCTCTCTATCAGGAGACTCCTCATTCACAGATGCAAGAGGTGACCCCAAAGGAACCCAGTGCAGACCCAGGCACCCTAGTCTGAAGCAGCAGAACACACATACACACACACACACACACTACATGATCTGAGCAGAAACACTGTAGCCTCACACACACACACACACACACACACACACACTACATGATCTGAGCAGAAACACTGTAGCCTCACACACACACACACACACTACATGATCTGAGCATAAACACTGTAGCCTCACAGACACCCACATTCACTCAGACTCGCATTGTCACACACGCACACACAGACGAGTTGATACAATGTGACCTCAACAGCAAAGCAAAACACGGCAACCTCAGCAGAAAGAGACTGGAATATACGACAAACTGTAGCTGTACAGTGTGAAAAAGCCTTGGCAAGTTCCCCGTGTTCTAACAGATCCCACCAGTATATGGACTTCAAACCCAGTATTCCCACGTGGATGTGCACTGGAGTTGACTCATCTGATAACACTATGGTCATGCTGTACTTAATATATCAATATTTCTGGTCCAACACGAGCAGTAATTTGCTTCCTGATAACCCTGAAAAGTCTCCCCAAGATATACTTTTTTACAGAATATATACAACTCTAAATTACTATTTTGTATCTTCTGAGATATAAAGAACAACTATATGAAAGAGGTAATTTATTGCTCATTGATCTTGTGATACACAAAGATGTGAGCTCACATAATTTGAAAAGCATTAATACATGCCAGTGAATGTGTGTTTGTAAACTATAGCAAAAGTCAGTCTTCATCTGCCGTTAATTTCACAGCCATTTGTATTTTTTTCATGTTTGATAAATGAGAGGGGCCATGAACTGTAGTGTACCGGTGTAGCAGACGGGAGTGCCTACGTGTTTTATTATCCAAACTAAACCGTGGTTAGAAACCTTCAAAGTGCTTTCTAATAATCTGAAATGCTAGCATTAAGCCTTTGTGAGTAAAGTCTAATCGAAAACTGAAAGCGGTTCAAGATGTCATGAAATTAGGGTGTTTGGAATGATGTCATATATATTGTGATTTTTCAGTATGTTTTCTAGATTCAGCTTAGTGCTGGCCAGTAAAGCTTTCTCTGTGCTGACCTTGAAAGAACAATTAGACCAAACCCGAGGGCTGTTGTGAGACCTACTGTATGGCAGTAGCACATGATTGTATGACAACAATTTACTCACATCAAATCCGTCTTTTCCTGCATTTAGTTGTGGAGGATTTGAGCGTCGTATGGAGCACTTTATGAACATCTTAAGCCTTAATTCCCTTTGAAATTGTCACCAAGAGAGATGTCAAGCAGTAGACAAGGTTTATAATTGGGGGAAGAAAATAAGGAAATTAAGTTTTGTCAACATCTACTGAAGGTCTATCTGAGAGTGAGTCTGTATATAGAGTGGGGGTGTACTGATGAGTTTCAACTTTTATTCCTGTACTAACAATGTAATTTTTAAACTAACCACATGATAAGTATTTAATCAAAATCCCCTCCCAAGTGAGCACTATTTAATTGGTTGTAAAAAGTGAGGTTGGCGGTGTGGACAGAATAGGGCTGCTGCAGTTTTGAATGACGGTGTGAGCGGGTCTCATACCAGTACATTTGTTAATGAGAATTCATGCTGGCTGATTTTTTTGTATTTGTAATGATTTCAATGCATTTCATGTGCTTGGTTTTGTGTTGTTTCAAAAAAGAAAAAAAACGTTAAGTTTTTTTTCAGAGTAGTTATGTGTCATAATATATTTCTAGGTAATCAGTCTTAACAGTATTGTAAACACCCGAAAGATTAGAATAATTCATGAAATCCTCAAGGGAACTGAAAGTAAATGTCTTAGTGTCGACAGAACATTTTTAAGCCACCCCCCCCTGTTTATTGTACTTGATCTTTGGCCATTTTAGAACTCATTTGAATGTAATTCTTTACGTTTGTCATAAATGATGTTGTTTTCTACTCTGTTACAAAGTGTAGCACACAGTGGAATGTTACCTGGTTCCTCCTGCTGTCTGATGTGTTCACATCCAGCTTCATAGAGCTTCTTCCTGCTGGTTAAAACCTGAAATCAAAGACCAAACTGCTGTGCACTGGGGGTCGTAAATGTATTTTTCATATAATGTACTCAGTAAGTTGAAAATGAATGGTATAAATTTAGCTCTAAAGCAAATTTATTCCAACTATATTATATTTATGAACCTATAACATTTTGTAGCTATCTACTGTAGCTCTTTCTCATCAGTGCGGGAATTGGTAATGTGTGTTAAAACAAGTTCATTCAGCAGCGTAACGTGTTCATATTTGATTATTCTTTTTTTTATATTTAAATGCAGCTGTTTTCCCTTTCCCTCCTCTCTTCATACCCAGGCCTGTGAAATAAGACTAAATAGGCCCGCCCTATACTGTATGTATGAGACTGTGCATTCACTCTCAATAAAGTGTCATGTTGAAATGAATGCAGACTGTGTCATGTTTATTTATTGTTAAAAAACAGTGCAGATTAAACCACTCTGGAGATGGTGTTGAAATTATATATATATAAATATATATTCTGATATGAATATCGGAATATGTATTTATTATAAAACTACAGCCTAGAGGCTTTTCAATACAAAGTTGTCATAGGCAGAGATTTCACACACAGGGCTTTTTTATTTTAAATAAAGTGCCTTTTACCTCAGGTAATATATGATGGTATGTTGGCACGGTTCAGGCAATGACATTGATTAAGAGACTTTCGAAATAATAAAATAAGAGTATGACCCCCCCCCCCAGGTCTGGAAATAGAACTGGTAGCTGCATCGTGTTGAGTGTTGTCAGAAACACCAGCAGCAGAAGCAGTCTGCTATTCCTGGACCCGAGTGTCTGTCAGTCACGCAGGACAGAGCGAGGAGCAGAGTCCTCGTGCCACGCTCGTGTCTCTTCCCACGTTACAGACATTACATCTGGATATATATCACACACACAGGGGGGTAAGTAGGCTCCTCCTCTAATGTTGAGTATTTATTGTGTTGTATGTTCGAGTCTCATCATTAAGACCAACAGCATGTCCCTGAACATATTTAGTCCAGCACTAGTGTCCACTGGACTTAAACCTTCACAATAAAACTATATTCGCTGAGGTAGCAAAAAAGCAACAGAAGTGAATTCATAAATAACAGGTTGCATCTTATCACACAAGACATGTGAATGTTAATGGGCTTTGCTTTATAACTATCAAACAGCACAGAATAATGTAAAACGTTTAGCTCGCCGTAGGCCTACATCTGTTTTGAATTGTAGACAAACGCACTATAACAACTGGAAAAGTAAAAACAAAGCAATCTTCCATTATTATTCATTAGGTTCAATTGCACTTCCTGCCCTCAGGCCCAACAGCACTTCACCCAGCCATGTTGTCCCAGTACAAGCCAATACTTTTGTTTCCTAATTATAAGCTCGATATGCTTCATTAACCTCAACAAAAGTTGCTAGAACCAGGTGTCCCTTGAAAGAGCATGTTTTAATATGGATTTCCAGCCGTTCATGTTTACAACTGTGGCGGCTAGTCCATGCAATATCAGGAAGAGTTCAGTTGCAGCTGGACCAGTGCAGGAGCTATTTACGTTGACATGCCACTCATCCAGCTAAAAATAAACGCACATGTACACTGCCTCTTTAAAATGTCCTAGAAAACAACCTCCCCACAATCAGTGACTTAAAGCACAAACTAGCTGCTGGAGCCGAACAGCTGGTGGACTCTTGTTTCAAATATGTAAGCACGATTGAAGAACTCTGTCCATTTTTGAAAGTATGCTTCTTTTGTTGTTCTTGCAGCTTTCATCTTGAGCGCTGCTGTCATCCGGGCCCATCTTCCGCTGTGCTCGGACTCTTCTTGCCCCATTAAACATGTCATCTTCATATGCCGCCGCTATTACGGCCCTTCATTCTGCCAGCTCTTCCAATCCACCCGGCAAACCGAGGCCTCACCCCTCCACAGACACGGGAGGGAGACCTAAACCTTCCCCCACGTCCCACTGCCCTCCAGCCGTACAGACACGTCCTCGTTCACCGGAGCCTCTGGGATCTTATGAGGAGCAACAGGAGAACCCTGCAGACTATGGCATTGGTAGGCGGCACCCCAACACCAAACTCAAACACACTGGTAGAGATCTTTTGTCTGATCCAGGGCGGTACATTGTGTTGCAGGTGGATACTACCCTGTAGAGATCGGAGAGATATTCGTTGACCGTTACCAAGTGGTTAAAAAGTTGGGATGGGGTCACTTCTCTACTGTATGGCTCTGCTGGGATATGGTGTGAGTACATGTTTGACCTTTTGAATTTTCATATATAACATAATGTAGAGATAACCGTAATAGTAGCTAACTGCCATAATTGTTTGCATGCAGGAAGGGGCGTTTTGTGGCTCTGAAGGTGGTGAAGAGCGCTGAAACGTTCACAGAGACGGCACTGGACGAGATCAAACTTCTGAAATGTGTCAGTGTTACCGCATTGCTTTTGTTTCAAATGCGTTTGTGAGTGTCTGATCAACACAAAGAAAATACTGATTATATTAGAGATGAGGGGAGAAATAATGCACTGTATAGTTCTCAGTCTTGGTAAAATGAACAGTGGTAGCTCAGCCTTTCTGCAAATATCTTTTTTATACACACCAGCACAGTTGTCTTTATACATTTTTGGGGATATTGTAACATGTTCTGAAAATCAGGTAAGGGACAGTGACCCCAGAGATCCAAAACGTGAGTCAATCGTGCACCTTATTGAAGACTTCAGGATCACTGGAGCGAATGGAGAGCGTATCCTTTACAGAAACATCTGCAGTCGCCATCTCGTTGTGCAGTTGTGTCTTTTCTCGCAGGTGTTGTTAAATTCCGTTGTTTACAAGTGTTGCTTACACACAGTCAGACTGATGCCACCATGACAACATCCTTGTATCAAGGTGGACTTTGAGACGTAAAGATTGTGTCAATGTGTTTTTGCCTCCTCCAAATACCCCCAAAAAACCTCTACCTTCCCAAGCTGTACAGCATGAGACAAGGTCCTTAATTGCTCGCCAGATGTGTGCATGGTTCTGGAGGTGCTGGGCCACCAGTTGCTCCGGTGGATCATCAAATCCAACTACTCTGGCCTCCCCCTGCCCTGCGTCAAGAGCATCCTCAGACAGGTGCCGGGCAACCCTTCATTCCATCTTAAATCATCTTCCCTCTCTTTCACCACTGACTGAGCTCTGTTTTTTCCGACCGACCACCTTCTATTTTTGCTCCTTCGCTGACACGGACTGCCTTGACAGTGGCTGTATTTTCATTCCTTATCACAGGTTCTGCAGGGTTTAGATTACTTGCACACCAAATGCAAGATTATCCACACCGACATCAAGCCGGAAAACATCCTCCTGAGAGTGGACGAGGTTTACATTCAGAACCTGGCAGCCGACACCAAGCTGTGGCAGCTGCCCGTGTCCTCTGCTTTCACCGGCTCCACAGGTTAGCAACGCTGCATAAGCAGCAGTATGCCTAGCTTCGATTATAAAGGAGTATGTGTCACAAGCAATCTGCGGGTACTGAGGCTGATGTTCTTGCAAGAAAAAAACGTTCAGCGCCGTTGCCTTTTATCACTTATTTTCACAATGTGTGCCTCTTCTCCCCGCTGATGTTTTTGCTTCCTGCCAGTGAACAGAAGCTCCAGAGAAAAACAGGTGTGCAACCTGAAATGTATTCTTCTGTTCAACATATTGTCATTCATTTTTATTAGGATAGTTGTGTGTTTTGTTATAATTATGGCGTCTGTATTTCTGCTATGACTTCCTTAGAGTTTGTCCAACTTGTTGGGGAAGCTGACTGGGGTTTTCCACACTCTTGGGGAGTGGGTAAGAAGCATGTTGTGTTTTGCTTTTGCACTTGAGCCTCTTAACTGCATCTTGACAACATCTACAGCCTGAAACTCTCCATAGGACGATGTCATAGATGAGCACAGTGCATTGAGATTTCGGTTGATTCGGATTGAAATAATATTACAGCTATTCCCCCCTATTTCCTACAGTTATATGAGCAACACGACTAATTATGACAAATCATTTTGTTGTCTAATCAGAAAAGGGATCTGTAAGTACAGGGAACTCCTGCATGTGCACTGTAGGAGTTTGGGTGACATAGTAGGTGTCCACCATTCTCATTCTGCTGTACTTTGACCCTAAAGAGACATTGGAAATCCCTCAACAATATTGTACAGTTTGCAACTCAACTTAAAACATATCTTTACAAGCACTTTCTGCATTGTGGTCAAGACAAGTGAAGACATTTCCAGGGTAGAGAACATCAAATACTTTAATTGTACTGGATAGCTCTTACGGTATATCTCAGGATAAGCAAGTATCTATAACTATCACTATTTTGAGTTGTCACTCCCAGGCTCCTGTAGCTCAAACGGAATGGACAAAGTAAGGTGTTGGTCGTTCTTCTGTAAGAGGATATAACTGCAGATTTTGATGTCCTTCCAACAACCGCTGTTGTGGTTTCAAAATAGCTTGTTGTTGGCAACTTACTGTTTGCTACATGCTACATGCTGTAACAGCTTCACAATTTATTCTTAAGATATTTATACATGGTTTTCACATGAAACTCTATAGACTATCTACAGACGATATGCGTAGATATGTTGGTAACAGCAGTTGATAAATGTCACAGAATACGTAATGTTCCTTTATATGAACTGTTATGTTGAGTGTTTTTGATGCTACAGTTAGAGGGCATCAAAGTCAGACATTTTAAAATCCTACACATAGTGGCTTTAATTCCCAAAACAGGCATGAAGTTGTGACTCAATAATTCGTTCATTGTTTAACTCGGTGCTCCCCTCTGATTGTTTCCCACAACGGTTTGCACCCCCCTGCAGTCCAGCAAGGTCTCCAAGAGCCCCATTAAACGACTCACAAGAAAAGATAGGGGTCGACGAGGACAGGACCACAATCAGAAAGACAAACTTCACGTGTCCTTCTCTGATGTCGCTGCTCCCTCTAGCACCCGTAGCTCCACCTGTCACTCTAAGCTCACAGGTCCTAACCTCAGGTTGAGGAGGCAGACGCTGCTGTTGGAAGACGGGCTGGACTGGACTCCACACAGCCCCAGAGAGTCCATCTGCTCGTGGCCAGACCTCAACACAGATGCTCCCGTCTCTGGCTCTAGATCGGTGTTATTACATCAGACTGCAGACAAAGAGCTGCCTCCTCCTTCACCATCCTCTCCCCTTGGTCAGTTAATGTTTACAGTTTGGCACGAATCTGTACTGTCGTTATATCATCAGTACACTCAGTATATCACGGTCTGATCTACTTAGCGATCACATTATTTTATGTTATTTTAGGCATCAGTGACTCGGATGTACTTCTGGACCTACTAAAACCCCAGAATGCTGATAAAATCCTCATCAAGATTGCTGACCTGGGCAATGCCTGCTGGGTGGTGAGTGATTATTGCAGGCAAACTAAACCTGAAAACCTACAAAATACCAACAAAATAGTTTCATCTTATAACTAGAAAGCTGTCAGTAAGTGCGTACCTCCCATCATTTATTTGGGTAATAGAGCTTTTTAGCCTATCTTCATTTGGATCTTGATTTATGCATCAAAATACACATAGTGAGAATCATGCTGATTGGCCAAGATTTTGGAGAATACCTGGATGAATTTGTTTATATTTATCATTAAAAAAAAAGCTTTGAAAGAAAACCGCAACATGTTCATAAAAAAAAGAAGTTACTGAGGTTCAAGTTTCACGTACAGATAACGGGTAGAAATGGCTGGAAAGGCAAGGCACGAAGCAACATTCACGACCTAGCTGGGATTGGGTGGAAATGGGCCGGTAAATATACTGCAGGGCTGATGGGGGGAAGTGGAAACAAGTGAGCAGGTGGTAGTGAGAGTCAGGTGACTAGGTCAGGTGGGAGAGGGCATCTGGTGGATGGTTGGGGATTATGCAGGGGCGGATGGAGGAGTCTCCAACGGGAGGGACTGAGAGGCAGAGTAGGCAAAACTGGACTGAGGCAGTCGTCGACAGCAACATGTTTGAAAAACACTTCCAACCCATCGTTCTTACTAAACCAAAGGAGACGGTTGCTTTCTGCAGAGCACAGTAGCCATGTGTACCGTGCACTCCAGTGGAAAACACATCTGCCATGTGTTTCCAGCGTGGGCTGATTTTAAACATAGCTTGGCGGAGTCAGAGAAAGAGACAATGATGTTATATCCTCTGACGCCATTTCCCTTTAAAAATGTTTTTAACGCAATCTTGCAGCTTTGTTCTATGTTTGGCAATGTCCATCACTTTTGGATGGATTGCCATGAATTTGTGTGCAACATTCATGGTCCCCAGAGGATGGATCCTAGAAGAATACAGAGACTGTTTTTGTGGAGCTTTGTTAATAATCATAGATTGTAGGTCATTTACATAAAATCCCGTCCCTCTTGTCGTCAGCACAAACACTTCACTGAAGACATCCAGACGTGTCAGTACCGCTCTGTGGAGGTTCTGATCGGTGCTGACTACGACACACCGGCTGACATCTGGAGCACCGCCTGCATGGTGAGAGGAGCACCAAGATGTGTATTTTAATAAAAATAAAATAAAAAAAGTTCTTCATCTCTCCTCTTTCAATATGTTTGATTCCAGCGTTGCCATTTGTAGATGTGTCAGAGCCATTATTCTTTATTTCTTCATGTGTACTGCAGGCTTTTGAGCTGGCCACAGGGGACTATCTGTTCGACCCCCAATCAGGAGCCTCCTTCACCCGCGAGGAAGGTGAGTGTTGTTCACAGCATCCCTTTTGTCCTTCATTAAACTACATGCTTGATATGCAATGTGCTTCGTGTTCTCTCAGATCACATTGCCCACATCATTGAGCTGCTGGGATCCCTTCCATCCCAGTTCGTCTTGTCAGGGAGAAACTCTAAACAATACTTCAACCATAAAGGTATAGCAGTATACTAAATGAATAACAAATACAGTAATATTTTAGAAATGCTTTACATTAGTTCAGTGTACATTAACTGGAAGTAGACAAAAGCATTGCATCAGTCCACTTCTTACCCCGTGCAGGACAACTGCGACACATCTCAAAGCTGAAGCCGTGGACCTTGTTTGAGATCCTGCTGGAGAAGTACGAGTGGCCGCGTGAGGAAGCCGCCAAGTTCAGCTCGTTCCTCCTGACTATGTTGGAACTGCTGCCGGAGGAAAGAGCCACGGCTGCCCGGTGTCTGAAACACCCCTGGATCACCTCCTAGTCGCACCAGTTCTGTCTTGTTCAGAGCCCAGTGGACTATAGCTCTCTGTTCAGGTGCAGGCTGGCACACATTGCACCCGACACGGGACATCGGGCAGCTGTGTGATATACAGCAGGAGTCTAGTGCTGGCATCATGACCTCATAGATATTTATTAGCCTGAAGAAAAGCCTTTTCTCAGTGGAGTTGCTTGGGCTTTTAGTATTTTAATGGCAGTTACATCCAATTCAGGCATTGCAATGACCAAAGAGAAGTTTTGTCTTACTGGAAAAAGTTCTTGAATTTCAATAAAATGACAAAAGATTGCTCTTGTTCTCCATTAGTTATTTGCAAGACAGCTGAATTAAGACCTGACCTTAAAGAATTGCCTGTTTAAGTACTGAGGAGTTAGTGGAATACCAGTCTGAGGTATGAGATGGATTTACTCAGACAGCACTCGGTCTCAGAAATGTCAATTTGAAGGAGTACCGTGACTCACCACAAGAAAAAGCTGTACAGATGGTAATATTATAAGCAAAAAAACTGCAGGATGTGATAGTACCCTCATTTCAGGTTATCAAAATATAAATGAGATACATCGAGCTTGGAGGTATTCATTGAAAACAAACATCTACACCTAACGGATAGTAGTGGATGCAACGGCACCCAAAGTGAACCAGAGGAAACCATTAAATGCCAAGCAGGAATAACCCCCTTTCTTCTTGCATATCCCCGAGCGTGTGTATGTGAGCATGTGTGTGTGTGTGCATGTGAGCTTAGAGGATTTAGTGTGATGTGCATTCCTCCCATCGGCAGGGGATTTAGGGGTGGGGGTGGGGGTGGAAGGAAGAGACGGAGGGAGGAGTCAGTATAAACAGGCGCCTGCTAGAAAACTCCCAGATCTTCTTCTAGCAGCAGCGAGAGGAGGTGCGAAGAGGACAGGGAGCGCCGCCTGCCCGCACATGTAAGTCTCCTTTTTCCCGTTAGATTTTAATGAGAGACCCTTTAAAGAATGCATGAGGTGTTATTTCAGTGCCTAGCAAGTGTTTGTTCCTGTGTTGCCCAAGAGAGACCATGGCTCAGCCTGCTTTTAATTCCTGTTTTGGATTGAATAGTGTGTGTGCAGGTGGTTTAGCAAAATAGGGGAGATTAGATTGTGTCAATCTGACAATGCCAGTGATGCTCCTCAGTTATACCGTTTTCACAACAAATAATGCGCTATGTCTCCAGTAATGAACATGCATCTTCCGGCTGTCCTTTCTGTTCTTGCATTTGAAAACTTTGCACGATGTGATTTGCATAATGACTGAGTTTGTTGGATCGGATGCACAGCGTGCACCTCGGTACTGTGCAAGTGAGAGACTCGCAGCACAATGATAAGAGTGATAAAGAGGCAGTGTGTTTATCTCGGCCGTGCCAGAACTATTCTGCTTTTCTCTTGATTGTGTGTATGTTAGGAGGAAGACAAAGTAAAGGTTAAAGTCCCGGTGCTCTGCCTTTTGCGACACAGCTCTTAACCCCCAGCCTGTTGCCATGCAACTCAAACTCCGAATCAAAAGGAATTACCTCAACCACCACTGGTCTCTTTCACAGTCGCATCATTAGAGCAAGGTGAGGCTGTTTCCAGCCACGGTCTTCACTGCTTTCCCACAGAAGGAGCCCTTGTTTGCGATTTTGTCTTTTCTTCTCTCCTTTTTTTTTAAAATTGCTTTGTTCTTCCCAATTCATCTGTGCTCCAGATATCTGAACACATCACTAATTGGTTCCGTGAGTGGGAAAAGCTGATCACACAAAAGGACTGTGTTGTGCATTCACCAAGTGTGTATTGCGGTTGATATTAAACGATATCCTGCAGTGATATCGGCACATTGAGATGCCAGTGGGTGTGCAGCTTGGACCTGGCAGCAGCAGCAGCTGATAATGAAAACAGGAGCAGGAACAGTATTGTACCCTGCATAGTAAACACCCATCTCATTATTCCTGCACAAAGGGGAGAGGTAGAGTGAGGGGGAGATTTGAGAGCTCTCATTTATCTCATGCAGACGTATTGCTATTGCGCAGAGTGTGTCTGGTTCCTTTCTATCTCCCTCTTATATATAACCATGCTGCACTGATTGACTCTGCGCTCCCTGTCTTGGCTGCAGGATGTGGCTGACTCTTCTTTACAGCTGCAGCGGTGGAGCAGCTCTTCTGTATGCTCTGTACAGATGGGTGATCCCCGCCGTTGTGCAGTATCATGGAGGACTGGCGCTGATGTGGCATGATGTCATCGTGGAGAGGATGCTGGACACCGTGACCCAGTCCACACGTCCTCAGGTGTGCCTCCCCATACGCAGTATTCTCTTAGAGCAGCCGTAACACATTAATGACCATGATGAGTGTGACGCAGTCCTGCAAGTGTGGTAGACTGAGAGACTGAGAAGATAATAAAACAAAAAAATACATGCACATTGGTATAATCATAAACTTAGCATGTTCATACATGCTCTAACACAGATTCAATTTAACTTTAATTATGTATGCAAAACAGACTTCAGCTCTGTGAGCCTTTATTAAGGCACAGCAGTGCTTTAGCGCTAAATGCTATAACTCAAAGTGACAATGTTAACATGCTGATGTTCAGCAGGTGTATTGCTTACCATGTTCACCATCTTAATTTAGGGTGTTAGCATGCTAACATTGGTTAATTAGCACAAAACACAAAGCACATCTGAGGCTATATCTTTTGTTTCATTCTCAATACATAAATAAAATGGAAAAACTAAATAAATGTTTTATTTTTTTTTTAAATCATGACCTCATGATGCACATTGAAAACACTGTTGAACAAGTCAGGTGCAGGTCAGGAGGAGATTGACCTGACGTGAAACAATAGAAGTGGTGCTAATACCATTCATAAGAGCTGCATTCTATCGGGTGTCCCACTGCTGGTTAGCATGCACAATAGCACCATCGTTAATGATATTAGTGACACCTGTGTGTCTAATACACTGATGGGCACAAAAAAATATCCTCTTTTCTCATTAACACTGGCTGCTAAAGTAGATGGTCAAAACATGCAGTTAAATTTAGCCTTTTATATCTATCTGTTAACATTTTGCCAAAGTGGTGAAGAAAAAAAGACAATGCAAGTGCAAAGTTTCCTGGATGTACTTTGCCTTATACAGTATAACATAAATACTGACAATATTCGTATACATCCATCTATTATCTTTGTACACTGCACATTTTCTATCTATACTGTAAACTTTTGTAATTTTTTTCTATTCTATATTAATATTTCTTGACTTATGGAGCACTTAAGCGCTTTTATTCTTATGTTATCTTACTCTGCTTATTGTGCACACCAAACGACAAAGCAAATTCCTTGTATGTGAAAATCTACTTGGCAACAAACCGGATTCTGATACATTTTATAAAAGGGAGCCAGATAACACATTTTTTTTTATTAAGTACATGATTATAAAGCTTTTTAGTTACATCAGACACATTCACGCAATAGGCGTGCATGCGTGTGTACAAATGTGTGAATCCACACTTGTTCATTGTTTCCTGAGAAGAGCTCCTGTGTGCTAATTAACGAGGGCTGATGCTTCTTCATCTGTCCCTAATGAAAGCAACCACACACACACACACACACACACACACACACACACACACACACGCACACAAAAGTGCTTTAGGTCTTGTTATCTTTGGAGCACAATGTGTTCACAAGGCGTCTTAGTAAATGAACAGTAGATAACAGCAGAAAATGTACAAACATGAACTTTACATATTGTAGCCTGCTCACATTTTCTACCCACACTCTCTCGCGAGTGTTCATCTCGTGCCAAAACGAAAATTTTTTATTTGTTTACACATTTTCTAGGGTTGCTTACACAGCCAAGAAGCAAACAGTTTACAGCATTTCCCATAACATAGTTTTCTGTTTTATTAGGGATTCCTAAGGTAGGATGTAGCTCACACGTTGCAGGTTGGAATCCCTGGAATAATGGGCAAGACTTTCAATTATTGGGCATATTGTTAAAGGCACTGTACACCTGTTCTCATTCTGGTGGATTAGACCTCTGCTCAGGTGGAAAGTTGACCGTATACGCTGTGTTTCCTGAGCTGAAACTCTGTGTACACAGAAAGATCAGGTTTGCCCACGAGTTCTGCAGGGTTAGGTGTGTGATGGGTGTGGATGACATGTAGACTTTGAGAAGGTTGCAGGTCCAGCCAAGAAAATCCTTTAGGCATCCTTATCCTTTTTTCTATCAAAAACATTTTCTAATTCGGCTTCCTGTATTTTGTTTATGCTTGCTATTTAAGTTAAATCCCCCCAAAATACACATTCTTTACTTCATTCCATATTGAAACAAACAGTGACACAGATTCATTCAATGATGCCTCTTTTATTAAAAATAATGATCTATGAAACTTGCTTGCATGCTTTTCAACACAATTATTTCAATTAAATACAAAATATAATGGGATGGAGCATCGGGCAGAGGTGCAAAGGGTAAAAGTGTATGCTTTACAAACAGTATTATGGCTCCTTAATTTCTATTTTATTTGAATCTTCTCAAGAAAATCCCAATTAAAAGAATTTGAAGTCAAAGAGGAAGGACACCAACAAATGGGGACTGTCGCTTAAATGTGTGGTCACAACCTGGCAACCCAGTTCTATGTATGCTATTGATCATTTAAAAGCTATAATGGGTAAATAATGAATGACGGGTTGTTAATGACACCTAAAAGACAGTGAACATAAAAAAAAAGCCCAACTGTAAAACATTTTTGTTACCCCGTCAGCGGCTCCTGGGTGCAGTACAGAAGAACGCCACTAGAGGGGACCCTTGCAGCGTGATCCAGGCCATAGATCACTTCTGCAGAAACAAGGAGTGGGCCATGAATGTGGGGGATGAGAAAGGTACTGACTTCTCTTTATATGATGTGTGTTTTATGTAGAATCTCTACCTTATGTGACTCAGCTGTGTGTGTGTTTGTATCTTCTTTCTTTTTATTTCCACAGGCTGCATTCTCGACTCAGTGGTGTCTGAGGTAAACCCAGCCACGGTGCTGGAGTTGGGAACCTACTGTGGCTACTCCACGGTGCGGATCGCCAGGCTGCTTCCTCCTAACGCCAAGCTCATCACTCTTGAATTCAACCCAGACTTCGCCGCAATTGCTCGCCAAGTCATTGCTTGGGCAGGATTGGAGGAGAAGGTAAAGCCAGGTGTCTCCACGCAAACTGAAAAACAATCCTTTGCTCAGTGTGTACAGGTCAGAAGACAATATGTTTCTTCTCTCCAGGTCCAGTTAGTTGAAGGTGCATCTGGTGACTGGATCCCCAGAATGAAGGAGCAGTTCGGGGTGAAAACATTTGATTTGGTTTTCCTGGATCACTGGAAGGACCGTTACCTTCCCGACACAAAACTGATGGAGGCAAGTGTGTTACGCTTGTTTTATATTGACCAAACTCTTTTCTTTTTCTGCCATGATGCATGATGCTCTTTGCTTATTTTCACCAGGAGTGTGGCCTCCTCAGGAAAGGCAGCGTCCTGCTGGCAGACAACGTCGTCTTCCCCGGTACTCCAGACTACCTGGAATTTGTCCGGAGCAGCCCGCGATACGAGAGCCAGTACTTCAAATCTCACCTGGAGTACACCAAAGTGGAGGACGGCTTGGAGAAATCCGTCTTCTTAGGGTAGTTTTTCACAAAAAATGTAATGTTTTACACAGGTACTAGCAGACCTCTGACCTCTGTTGTCTTGGGTTCACTGAGCAGACTTAAAATCAGGAGTTAAATCTGTTTTTCTAATAGGTCACAGAGTCTACAAACGTGAAATTAAAAGTATGTTGAAGGATTTTATGGTGTGTGCTGTATTTTTTTGTAACGCTACATGATTTAAGTCTCAATACTTGATGCGTTGTTGGTACAGCAGGAGGCAGTAGTGCTACTATGTTCAAGCATCTAATTGACAGAAGATGAGCTTCAACTCAAATCAATAATAAATCTAATCCAGCTGCATTCTGTGGTGACGAAACCTATTTTCTGCTCTGATATTCTTCACCATTGTGCCAGCGTTGACAGGTGTGTGAGGAGAGAGAGAGCGTGTGAGGCATGTTAGTGTGTGTGTGTGTGTGTGTGTGTGTGTGTGTTTGCGTGTGTGTATGAATCAAATCGCTGCTCATCTAATCTCTCAAAGTGAGTTCCATCATACTGGGGGGTGGGGGTTCTGCATTTGGTTCAGCTGTATAAAAAAAAAGTGGGCTAGTCCACCTAGTGCTTTCTTCACAGACTGCTGCATGATAATCCCAATCTGTAGCCATTAGTGCACTGAGAGAACGAGCAAAGATAGAGTTCAAGAGAGAGAGAGAGAGAGGGTGTGGGGGAGTGCCTGGACAGAGATGCACACAGAGGGAAAAGAACGAGAGAGAGAGAGAGAGAGAGAGCTTTTAAGGGATTTGGCAGTGATTTGTAGAATCTCACTGCTGTAATGTTGCTCTTTTCCTCCACTTTTCTCTGATTCTGCCATGATACTGCACCCTGAAGCCTCAGAAGTCAGTGTTTTCATTTAGTCCTTTATGAACCACAACTACTTCTCTTTTCGACCATCGTTTTTTAGTGTGTTCTGCTTATTTTTGAGAGTGCACTGCGGCCGTCTGAGATGATAGAGGATTTACCTTTGGTGAGGAGAGGAGAGCCTTGCCTCTAGAAATTTAATCCCATTTCGGACCGTGGATGGAGGTCTGTTTGGAAGAGCTCATGTGATGGATAAAATCCAGACTGGTCAATGAAGAATGGGCAGGTAAGAAGTGACTTTACATGAAGAAATGTCTCTACTTGCAGGTTGCCTGTAGTGGTATATAAAAGGGAAAAATTGTCTGCAGCCATTGCGTGATTCATACAGATTTACATTATGCTCTTATTTTGAGAATCTTCTCATTTCCATCCATCCAACTTCAAATTGCAGGACAGAAAAATAGAATGATTCAGCATCATAAATATGAGTTTAATTATGTATGTATATGTATTGTGTATGTATATATATATATACTGTATATATATATATATATATATATATATATATATGTATTGCAATTTGAAATAGCATGCAAACTGATATATCTAAGGTTGTATTTGTATTAGACACTAAATTTAAGTGATCCCATAATAAATATTTTCTATTGTTCAAATTCTGCCTTGCAAAATTAAATATATTTACACTTTTAACCCAGATGTGTACTGTGGGTTGTGTCAATGAGCGTCATGCAGATAAAATGAACCTGCTCCAACTTTTGGAGCATGAAATGCTGCGATGGTCCAGTTGATGTTTTCTGTTTTGCAAAATTTATAGCGTTTTCCATCATCGGCTCTCAGCTCTCTGTGATAAAAGCTATTCACTCTGTGTCATCCTGCATAGATGTCCTCAGCTACAGCTCTCGTTTAATGGTGGATACATGTAAAGCTTGTATTTTGTACTTTTTCTCAGCTTGTATTGAATACACCAAAACAGATTGTAACAAAAAAATGTCAGAATTTATGTATTTTACAAATCTTCTAGAGGGCTCTCTGCATTTAAACTTTTGTATTTTTTTTACCTGATACGGATCCTTTAAGCATTTACATGCAATGTAAAAACAAAAAAACTGAAACATTTTGACAATTTGTTCAAGATCTCGAGTCAAGTCTCCAAGAACTTGACATGCAAAATGACGTATTAAAAAATCTTTATATAAAAAATTGTATTTAAATACATACAGTAGCTTCACTGATGTGAAAGACCAAACATATGTTGGAGACTGATTGAAGAAGGTAAATGACAATAGTATTTGACAGTTTGCAGCCTTCTTCTTCTCTGAAAGGAGACTGAGACCACATAGTGTCATCACGAGGAGATGATAATCGGACCTCTCTGACTGCCCTCAGGTGTCAAAGGTAGAGGGAGTGGCCTGGTGTTGTCAGTACCTCTGCTGGTCCTCATCATGACATCAGAGGCCCGCTCATCACATCCGTGCTGCTGGCTCACTTCGCCTTTCAGATACCAAACATGGCTTCGGCTGACGTTGGCACTGCTGGTGGGTACTGGCCCGGGCTCCTGGGCCCAGCAGGGCACCCTGCCTCAGTCCATCAAAATTGAGGGGGACATCACCTTGGGCGGGCTGTTCCCCATGCACTCTCGGGGCGCTGCTGGCATGCCCTGCGGGGAGATCAAGAGAGAAAAGGGGATCCATCGATTGGAGGCCATGCTGTATGCCATGGACCAGATCAACAGTGACCCGGATCTGCTGCCTAACATCACTCTGGGGGCCCGGATCCTGGACACCTGCTCCAGAGACACCTACGCCCTGGAGCAGTCGCTCCTCTTTGTCCAGGCCCTCATCCAGAAGGACACCTCAGATGTGCGCTGCTCAAACGGAGAGCCTCCCATCATCCCCAAACCAGAGAGGGTGGTCGGCGTGATCGGGGCGGCTGGCAGCTCGGTGTCCATCATGGTGGCCAATGTGCTCCGATTGTTTTCGGTAAGTTTTGATGTCTCTTTAGAGAATTCTTTTTTTCAGTAAGTAAGCAGATGGGATCAATCCAGATGAAAGCCATGTAGGAGAAAATACTTGCATATGAGCTAAAGCACCGGTTCCCAACCTGGGGTTTGGATCTCCCAGTCAAGCCCCATGTATCTAAGGGGTCTTCATTGTTTTTTGTTGTTGTTAAATTGCTGTTGGTTGAGTATAGTTAAGACATAATTCCCATGACCGCAACTTTACCAGTTTGATTACGGCCCTTCCTCTCCTCCCTCTGTGTTTCCTGTCTCTCTGTTCAGAAATGCCATAAATCTTAAAAAATATACAGTATATTTTCTGGATAATTTCACGTCTTTGTGTCTCAAAAAACCTTTAACCGAAATAAGTGATTCGGGGTCACAAGTAGCATTGCATTATTTTAAGGGGCCACAAACCAAAAATGTTAGTCGATGACTTTCAAACTAAGAGGGACTGTGCCAAAAAGTGTGCAACTATCAGCAATATATACCCCTAATTTTTTGTGCGTTTAGTTTTGAAAACCTTTTCGCAAACTTCCCATGTGTCCGCTATTCATGTAGAATTATGGCTCAAACGAGCTGATTACTCTGATTTAATGAACGTATACGTATCCATGCTTGTACAGTTAAATTAGCTCCCGGCTGATCTAGTTAAGATGTACAGAAGCACACAGCGGTCCCACTCATTTAGTCATTTTATGCACTCCTAGATGATGAATGGGGCCTTCATCACATTTGGATTTCATTCTGCAGCATGAACACGGTGACTTTTAATTGCAGTTGACTTGCTTCACAAACCTAATTAAGAGTACTCCTCATGTTTACTAGCATCTTCTCATTGGATATTTTGATTGATTTTATTGCACATATCCCCGTGTTGTTACTCTATAGACAAATATTCAGCACATGTATCACCCAATATGATTTTGAAACAAGTCATTTAAAAGGATGAATATTTTGAATGAGCCTCTGTACACGTCACAGGATTTTGAATCATTGTCATGCGTTGCCTCCGCAGGCTAATCCCTGTTATGTGTTCATTGTTGTTTTTTATTTTATTATTTTACAGATGATTGACCTTTGATGATTGATTACACTGCTCATAGCGATGATGGGACATTGAGGCTGTGTAAATCCCACATTATGTCGTGTTCTCATCGACTTAGCGATATGGTCTGCCAGAAATCTATGAATGTCTAAAAATAGGCACTAGTCTGGGTTTAAATTGGCCAGAAATTGCCCCCCCCAAAACAAAAGAAGAAGTTTCTACTTGTTGCTGTATTATTTATAGAGAGGATGTTGATTTGAGAGCCAAGGAGGGGCAGCTTTCATAAAGGGCAGATGTTAACTACAGATTTATAGATCCCACCCTCCACTAAGCCCCTCTCAGCAGCTCAGGACCCTGCGCTGAAAATAGAGCATCAGGGCAGCAGGATGACAGCAACGCCTAGACGGCATGGAGTAGATTTAGTTAAATGGTATGTGTTTCCTCCCGCTGTCCATTTGTGCTGCTCTCCAGGCCACGGATACTTCTGTACATTGAACATCTGCTCTTAGCCAGAGCAGGAGATGTTTCAGCATCTACCACACGTGCTGTTTTAACCGATTTTCTTTCAGGGCTGAGATGTTCAATCGATCAACAGATTATTTACTGACAAGTACTCCAGCATTTTAAAATTTGAGGGTTTATTGCTTTTCTCCCCTTCTACATCATGTAAATGTAATATCTTCGGTGTTAGCAGTGGAAATGTTTCACTATTTTTGACATTCCATAGAGTAAACAATTTCTTAAAAAAGGAGCTATATATTAATATATTAGTTTTACCTCTATTCATAATGATGCAATTTATCTAGTATCATTTAATATTTCAACCCACTGTCATAACCTTAAATCATTAGTCTGCCGCTAAAGACTGAAACCTCAATTAATCTGTTTCAAAGCGATAATAATTTTAATTGTTACAAAAGGAAAATTCAATCCATCTATTCAATTTCCCTGCACCTTTAAAAAACATTTTAGAATTTGAATAAAACTTTGATCATTCTCTAACTCACATAACAAAAAACCCCCTGCATATCATATTAGTCTTGTACCTGCGCACACTTCTGTTTAGCATTTAGTAAAGTCTATTTGCTTGGATCCTGGAACATCTTGGACCGTTTCAAGCCATTACTGATAGTTAGAAGATTTCAGCGGTACGGGATTGTAAGTGGATACTGACAGGGCTCATTGATTTTAAAAAGTGAATTGGTGCAGATGCTTCTATGGGACTAATTGGAAAGGATTACGTCTCGTTCACTCCGAATTTCTACAACAATTGAATC